TCGTCATACATCGGATCAGGGGGTGGGAAGCTTCGATGTTGGTTCCATTTCGAGATGGCTGTGATAAGGCATGCCCCATCTGCAACGGATTCTCGGCAGTTTGGCATTTCGATATCTCGGGAGTCGGCTTAAGACAGGCAAGACCAGATACGTGATGTGGGCAGTTGTGCCCATTTTCATCCTATTGGAAACTCAATCCCTTTGCTTCTCATCCCACTTGGTCGGGTCTTCATCAACGAATATTATGCGGATGGACTGCCAATGAACAAACCGAGCGGTACTCTGTTATTGAGATGGAGTTCAGATTCTTCATCATCTCTTCTTCTGTGGTTCAGATACCTACAAGCGCAAGTTTCATGTCGCGAAAATATGGACGCAAACCTCTTGTCATTGTTGCAACTCTGTTGATGTTTCTGTCAGTGTTGTGGTTGCACCGCATGCTGCATAAGACTGCTCCATTCTAAAAGAATTGTTCACTCGGCCCTCAGTCGCGTCTAGCAGAAAAAGACCTCGCCAGATCGATAATGCCTGTCAGAACCCTTGACCTCATACGTATACGTCAGTTCCTGGGTCCGAAAAGTTGGGCCACTCGCCACCCAATCGCCGACCTGGCGATCTCAGTCCACAAATACACCATATGATCATCACCAGGCCCACAACGCTGACTGAGTGAATTCTACACAATTTTATCTTTTGACCTACTCCATGGATTGAACGCCGGTCGAAGCTCGTTTTTTCGTAGTAAGACATATTGATAGTTTGAAATGGCTATGATACAGGTTATACAGGTGATAGATATGACGACCTCTCATGACTCGTCCTTGACAACCGTCGACTTCCGCTTGACCTCCCTCTTCTTAGGCTTCAGCCACTCTTCCATGCCTTCGGGCCAATACACCCGCCGTGTTGGGCCGCCCATGGCAAATTCCTCTGGAGGGATTGTCTTTGCTTCGGCCTCGGTTGGGCCAGCCTCGCCTACCCCCTCCTCCATTTCTTCATCGCCATCATCGTCCTTCTTCTTCTTCTTCGGCTTTCTCGGCTTCTTCTTAGCAGCCCCGTTCTTGTTTGCTCGATATTCATCCTCCCGTTCGTAAGGCACGACGTCGTTGAAAAGGTCATAACCAGGTAACTTGAATGTGCGCATGAGCTCGAAGACGGCTTGCTCCTTGTCCTTGGCCTCAATCATGAGATCCATATCGGGCAGACAGGGAGGTAGTGTTTTCACGCGTGGTGAGTGCTTCCTCCGGTCTCGTGGTGTGACAGCACCCGGACACGATTCGCTGTAGTGCATCTTCTGCCTGATTCCCTTGCGAGTCCATGTCGCGCGGATACGATCAAAGACTTGTCTGATATCCTCTGTGCCCTCACGTAATTCATTCGCGTCGAATATGATGTTATGATGATGGAAGTCGAGTACCATAGGAATGTTTAGTTCCTCGCAAATGGGCAACAGATCGTGTATCGACCAGGAAACGTCGTCATTTTCCAAGACGAGACGATTCTTGATAGACTGACTGAGCTTCGCATAGTTGGTTCGAAATCGATCCACAGTGGCGGGCTTGTCGCCGTATGTACCTCCCATGTGAAGAATCATAATCGCATCCTTGTTCTGCTGTTCAGGAAGACGCAGAAGCGAGAGCAGCTCATCGTGATACTCCAAGTCGCGAACAGCGTTGGCTATGACCTCCTTACGTGGGGACCCAAGCTGTGTAAACTGGCCAGGATGTGTTGTTAGTCGATGACCAAGTTGAGCAGCAACCTTGCCAGCCTCGGCAAGAGCATCTGCAGCAAATGGTGCGAGTCGATAACCGTATTCCTCGTGGCTGGCGAAAGGAAACATCTCTGAGCTGAGGCGCATGAACTTGATGCCATACTTGTCGTTCCACTGAAGCATCTTGACAATATCTCGAGCATTTGCTAATCCCAACTCTTGGACGTATTTTTGGCCCAGCTTGATGTCAGCAGGCTGTGTGTCATCGGGTCGGTTCTTTGTGGCATGCTCAGGCTGACTTGGATCAGCGAGAGGATGCCGATGCTGTATGATAGATGCAATGCGACATGTCCTTGAGCTAAAGACCGGCGGGTTGGCAGCTCGTAGATATGTGTTAAGACACGCCTTTGACGACATCAGCACGGTTTATACAAGAACGAAGCCATGAAGCACTTACATAACCTAGACGTCCTGTCCAAGGCAGTGGAAGATAGTCACTATTCACTGGTGGTGCTCTCGCTGCGCCCCGCTCTGGGGCGTCTTCTTCTCGAAGCTTATCGTCTTCAACGTCTGCAATGGCACCCTCAGCCTCAGGGCCCTCGATAGGGGCGACATCCAAGTCCGGGGTCCCGGATCGTTGCTCTTCCACCTCACGGGCGCGCTCTTCAGGATTGGACAGCTCCGTTTTGACAACAGGACGCCAAGACTGATCCTCGGGACGTTTCTTATTGCCGCCAACGAGGTGGCTGGTTTCAACGGCAAGACGCTGATTCCTGGTGGAATTTTGGAGACGGTGTTCCATCTCACTGAGCTCTCTCATGGCATGTCGAACGCCATCGTGGGATTTGAGCATCTTACGACTGAGCTGGCGACGCTTGGCAGGTGGCTCTTTGTCTAGGTCGGAAGGGGTGGGGCGCATGCCGGCGCCGGGCTCGGTGACTTTCTTGACGTCGTGAATGCGGCGACTGGACCTCCGGGGGGCAGGGGGGGCCTTTTCTGGATTGGTAGTCTCCTCGGGTTTGATGGCGGTGTCGGCAACAGCAGCAGCAGCAGCAGCAGCAGCAGCAGCAGCAGCAGTGGCAGACTTTCTTCGCTTGGGAGCAGCCATGACGAGAGAGTTAAGTAGCGGAGAGTTGTAAGTGTAGTCCACAGGCAATAGGGAAAGGCTGAATGAGCGGGCAAGTGATGAGCTCAGGGGCGGGACAGGTGACGGCACGGGTGTGGTGTTACGGAGAAGACGCTTTGCGCAAAGCCGTTGATTGGCTGTGGCGGACGAAAAGCTCCTCATGCAGTCAAAGACCGGGGAGGTACGGATGGAAGTAGAAGACGATGGATTGGGATGAGTGATGTATGAGTGTGTCTGGGCCGTTGGGGGGATGGATTATGCTCGAGAGTGGGTGTTTGTGTGTCTGTGTTTGTGCTGGTGGGCACTGTCTGAGGCATGTATCCCCTGGGTGTCAGATTGTACCTTGCCTTACATGGACTTCTTGCGACGGATAGCAGGCACGGGCGAGAAGCTATTGAGGACGGGAAAGGTCAGAAGAGAAGAGGTTGTCGGGAAGAGAGGATTGTGGACAGGAGGAAGAGAGAGAGAGCGTGAGAGAGAGCCGGGAAGACAAGACGAGGGCATGTTAGCGCGGAAGGAGAAGCAGAGGAGACTGGATGTCGTCAGGAGGCCTGAAGACGGGCACGGATGGCAACGAGGGAGGTAGGTAAGGTACCGCAGGTGCGTAGGTAGGAGGTGAGATGGAAGATGTAATTAATGCCTGCCGGCGACGCTATGCAATTGGATTCTTTCCTTTGTGATGGGTCTAGTGCAATGGCGAATGGGCATTTCGATCTCGGTAAGGAAAGGCCGCATCGATGAGCCACGCGCTCGTCCCCTCATGCCTGCCTGCCCTCCTGCCCTGAGAAACGGGCACACAAAGTAATGCAAATTCTTAGGTGAGGTAGGTGGAAAGCACGGAAGGCGAGGAAAGGCAGGTAGGTATCAAGCTGATGGGACGGGATGGCGGTTTCCTTCTGGAGGTTTCGCCCCTCGCCTTCTCAGACACGGGTCAGGCACGCGGCAAGGGTAGGTCTTTCCTTTTGCTTTTCTTTTTCTGGCCAGGTACCTGCCTTCACTTCGGAAGAAACATACGAATAATGGAAGGCACGATGAAGTCACCCGTGGACCTGTCCTATGGGAAGGGAGGTGGAACGCGAAAGAGAGACAGAAGGCAGGTGCGCCGGTGGCAGGTGGAAGGCAAGTGGAAGGTGCGAGGTGGATTGTGGGGAGGAGCTTGGTCCATTTCACCTGCGTCATTGGTCCCCAAACGAATCGTCGGCAGGAGCTTCGACGTCACTGAAAAAGTCCAATGCACGTACAACGCCACCCGTCGACCAACCACCACCACGGCACTATGTACTTGACCTACCAGCCTCATCTCTCCTTACCTTTACTTACCTTGACCCGAGAAGAGGATAGGAGCGAATTCTGACCTCGCTTCAGTCATCCACTGTAGCGAGTGCAGTGTCACATTGCAATGCGGCTCGTTTGGACAGTGGGGCACAATGTCTGGTCCGTTGGGCCTGGACGCGGATTTCACAGCGTTACGCCACGATGACAGCAGCGACCCGACGAGAACTGTGGTTCACTCCTTCCGCGTCCCGCCTGCCCTAGCGGATGTGTCTCACCGAGCACCCGGCCACTGCACTTGCCCCGTTCCAGACAGCTCCCATCAGCCGCAATACTGCTCTTCGATGAAGCTCGATGGCCACACTCACCCACCTCAGGAAGACAAGCTCCGCCAGCCCGTCAACCCGTCACCTTTCGCATTGGATCCAGATGCCTCATCCCCTGGTCCAACATGGACTTCGGCTCTGGCCGTTGACGAGCTCACCGAACCCAGCCCAGCATATCTACCAATGCTCCGGCGATACCACGACACCTGACCCAAGTCAATGCAGGACCTCACTGCAGATCGCCATCGGTACCGTGCTCTGGCTCTGAGCTACGGTGCAACGCCCTGCGCCCCCCAAGTCTAAAGCGCCGGCCTAGCTGAGCAAAACCTCCGCCCATGACGACGCGATCTCGATTCCACTGTCGCTGCTGCGGTGTCACGGCACTCGTCGATCTCGGTCCCTCTGCATCGTCGCAGAAAATTCAATTGCGCTATCTCAGTCGCTGATCAAGAATGACAGTCACCTTTCTTCTGCGCTCCTCCGCCGGGTATCATCTGCAAAAGAAAAACAACGAAATCACCAATTAACAAGCCAATGACAAACCAATCATCACCCAGTCCTCACATCAAAAATTTGGCACGCTAAGTCGCTCAACCGTAAGCCCGCGAACCCTTGCAGGTGCCGGACTCGCAATTCCGGCATTGTGACCTCCACCGGCTCCCGGTGGTGCGGATGCCGCCCGGGCCCTCATTTCCCGCGTCTGCCAGTACGGGCTCCGGCAGACGGGACAGTCGTACCGCTCAATCAAGAACCACGATGAAAGACACTTGGCGTGAAAAGCGTGGTGGCAGCTCTTGAGCGTCAGGATATCGTCGTCGCCCGAGTCGCCCTGCGAGTTGCCCGTCTTCTCGTCCCACAGCTGCATCACACGCCAGTTGCAATTGCTCGCTGCAAGCTTCTCCCGGACACTGCGAATGCCAAAACCCCTATGCGTTTGTCGCCCTTCACTTTCTTCTGGAACATCGCTGCCCCCGCCCGAGCCCGAAGCATGCGAGGGCACTGCCTGCATCGGGCTTGAGCCAGTCGTATGGATGTTGCTTGGGACGAACAGTGGCCCGATGCATATGGGACTGTCAGCAACAACAGTCAGCGACAGCAACGGCATGCAAAGTGCTGACCAGCTCCCTGCCTGCCATCTCGCAGAGACAGGCCCATCCTAGTGTCCCACGCCGGGCTGGAGAAAATACGGCGAGTACTCACCACTCGGGCGTTGAGTCGTGTTGATTAAGACTCGACTCCATGTCCAGCTTTTCCGGGCTGATTGTCGTGCATTCGGATACAGTGCTCAGCTTTCGACGAGCATCTCTAACCCTGGACGATTTAGGATTGAATCTTCGGTGGTCCTTGACTCGCGAATATGTGACGCAGATTCTACTCGAGAGGGGCATGTCAGCTCTCGTCGCCTTGTGTTTGCGGGGAACTCAAGGCTTCAGCACGGTCTGTACAGTGGACCCAGGACGAGGAGGAAGAGGAACAGCGTGAGCAAGATTATGCCGACTTCGTCCATCCCGTCGCCTGTAGCGCTGCGGGGAGCATCGCAGCTTCCCACGACTGTTTTATAATGATCGCGAGCTCTTTGATGGAGCTTGTAACAATGTCGCGATGCGACGACGTGCAATGGTTCACAGTTTTGCAGCTTCAACAGAATAGCAGTTGACCAATTGCTGCAGAAGCGATCTGAGCAGGCATTTAATAGAGGCAGGACAGCTGAAGAGGAACTTGTTGGTCAGATGACCGCCAATGTTACCTGTGGTCGACAGCAGATAACGTACGCGGCAGGTACGGCACTTCAATCACTCGTCGTGCCAAGCAGTCAATCAAGAGCTCCCCCGCACACTATCTGACATACCGGTACGCTCACAAACCCAAAACACATTGCGAGGCGACTAAATATGTTGCAATGGCCGTGTCTTCTGTGACTCTGCCGTCGTCTGCTCCCGGTCTCCTTTCGTTCCGTCTTCTTCGTCTATGTCGTCGTCGCTGGTTCCACTGTCGACTCTGTTGAAGCTCCAATCCTAGCAACAACTCCTCTACTTCGAGCCAAGAGCCTTGGCTGCAAATTGCAACGACTCAGGTGTGTATTGAACCGCAGATCCAGTGAGTGCACAAGAGAAGACTATTTTTCTTGTGACGTAAAGTTTGTTGGTGACACAGGTCTTGGTATCCTTGGTAAGCGGGGGGTTTTCCTACGCATCCCACGATAGGTCAACGAAGCCGGTCTTCTCTGCGAAAGATACAGGCTAGGTGAGTCTGGATTTCTGGGCAAAGGGCACAGACAATCGGTAACGACACAGTGGAAGAAACAAAACATCGAAGGAGCTGGAGGTGTGTGCTAACTTATCAGTGGATGGGCGGGGGAAATGCTGGGGTGACAAGGGTTGTTCTTCATGACCTCACCAGGGAGCGCCCCTCCATCGCCCCCCCAACAACAGCCCGCGAGCTCCCAGATGGTCGTACCCATGGATGATTGGAGTTGAGAATCAAAAGAATGGAATCTTGGCCCCGGAGTTTGAGTTATCACCCTCAAGATGAAGAGATGGAATGACCAGAACCGCCGACCGACGGCGCCGCTGGAGGAGAGGAAAGTGGACTCCCGACGAGCGGCGGCGGCGCCCAGCTCAGGAATTTTCAGTTGACGTGCCAAATGCCAAGCAACCGCCAAGTTGCCCAAAAACCCTTGGCTGGCCATCCAAGATCAGCTGGCCCCCATCCGATGTCCCACCGCCGGGGCGGCCAAGACGTCCGCTGCCCAATACCATCGTCAGCCTACCCTCGAAACGCCGAAAGAAGGATGGCTGGCATGCTGGGAGACATTGGCGGAGAGGACCCGAAGTAATCTCCCCCGAGCATCCCGCAAGCATTGCAGCATCATGATACGCAGTTCTGGCATGGCTGCAGCTGGTTAGTGATGGTCTTGGTCTTGGTCTTCTTGGGACCATCCCGCCATGACACCGAGCATCATCCTATCTGAGGATCCCACGATAACTTCGACACATTTCCATGAGTCCCCAAAACCGGGCCCCTTCTCTGCTCCTCCAGTCTCTTCCGCCGCCGAGCATCTGGGCGTCTCACTCGGGGTGGCTGTGTTTCTCGGCGGACCCGTCCTCCCCCGCCCGTATCGCGCCCGGGACGTCGTGTATCGCTTACACCGGGACAGTATCCCGGTTCCTCCTCTCTACTTCTCCACGGGGCTCGCAGCGACAATCTGGGCGCCTCTCTGGGCAGGCTTTCTCGTGTGCAGGGGGTCAAAAGCAAGCCTGACCGGCATTGGAGTCGAGAAACGGTACTATCAGAGACCACGATTGATGCTCTGGGTGCAGAGATGGTGTGACGGAGCGCTGATGTTCGGGCAGAGGGAGAGACGGAGGCTCCCGATCTCATTCGATTTCGGATTTTCACGGTTGCCATGTTGGGTGCCCGGATGAGCTTCTCGGAGGTCTCGATTGTCTTTGGCTGTGGTGTTGTCTTCGAAGTTGACGGCCCTTCTCAAAGTCCCCAGTCACCACCCCAAGGGCCGGACCAAACACGGCGCTTTATACTTGCGCAGCACTGCCAGAGGCCTCCTAAGCACCTGAGCACATGGTGCGCGCGTCGTATGGTGCGTACGTCACTTGCTCACAGCGACACTTACTTGGGACGTTAGCACCGGCCTGGGTTCCTGTTGTGAGAGGCCCCGTAAGGTTGTGTAGAACGCAACAAGTCGGACGTCGGCAACAAAACGCAGGGGTTGCGCCGGGTGGAGGGATGGCGCCGAGACGTGGTTCATTCCCAACTGCATGTCCGGGGTCCTCTTCTCCTCTCGGCTCTACAAGACCCTGGCGCAGGAACGCAAGTCTCGTCGAGCGGACTCCAACCCGCGCCGCCAGGAAAGAGCCTCTGGGCATTATCTTGGCCGTCCAGAGCCCTTGCACCCGCCGCAATCACCGCCGCCGGCGTCTCCACATTCATCCTCTTACACTAAACGTGGACTTCTGTTGTTTGTGGTCCTCAACGTCCAGGTCTCCCCGGGAATCAGTTCGGCCAAATTGACCAGTTCACTGAAGTGAGATGGAGAACGAGATCCATCTCCCCGCGTGTCCGCCAGGCGCAGTGCATGCAGACAGAGACTTGAGGACTGGACTGACTGACCTTGGACAGACTTCAACCCTGCCGCGCTACGGAAGCTACGCCGCCATATGTATCCAATAAGGCTTGCATGCAGACAGACATCGATACACATAATATCTTGAGGCACACTACTGCAGACCTGGCAGCACCCTGGTAGCCTTCTAGAAGGAGTGGTCCCCCGCACCGGGCGTTCCTTGGAAGGCATACTCGTGTGCTAACTGGCCGAGGGCGTAGTGGAGAAAACCCAAAGTATCGTTCCTATCTTTCTGGGCGCGGCCATTTTGATCACTGAAAACATCACCACAGCATCCACCCCCTCCTTTCCCATGTCTCGGGGCAACCTAGCATATGGCGGAGTAGGTACTGATACACAATCAAGAGCGAATTACGACGCCCAGGCTCGCCCACGACCTCTCCGAATACAAAATGCCCAGAATGAGGCCCGCTGCCCAGACTCTCGGCGGCCAAACATGGCAGGCAGGAGCGTAGAGTTTCCACCGAAATCTGGATGGCGTGCTCGTGAATAGCTCGCGTGTCCTCGAGCAACTTTTGGACTTTGCAGCTCCAACGCCATGGAAAGCGAGCCCGGGGTCCTTACCCCAGGCAGACCCAGGCAGAGCCCCGCGAAGAGCCGCCAAGGCTGAAGGAGCATGTACCCAACGGACACTCACTCTTCGAAGAACGTTGCGGCTTCGAGGGGTACGATACGCAGAAAGATGGGGGCGCGTTCTTCCGTATCCTTTGCTTGCCTATCGTTATGAAGTCATAACGCCGAGAGTCGTGTGGGCGCCTCTCCCGGCGGACCAAGACTACATCTTCTCCAAGCCCCCCGAATATTTTGATCTTGTCTTTCCCCCAACTCTCGATATCAACAGACATCGTCTCTTCTCCTCGGCCTCCTCTCTATCTTCCTCTTCCTTCCTATGCTCGCCTGTTCTCTTGATCTGAAGGGGGTAAAAGTGCTTGAACCTGGATAAGAGCACTCACACTTTTGCCCGTTCCATGCCGCATTCGTCAAGAGCCAAATAAACTCCTAACCCTCCGATTGGATCCGACGTCGAGTCTTGGCACCGCCCGGAGATCTAGTTGAGGATCGCACGACACCGCCCCATTCCCACCCTCCGCCCCTTAACCACCGTGGTCTGGACTACTCATACTTGAATTGAAAAACATTCAACATGGGAAAGAAGGATCCCGAGGCCGAGGCAATGGCCAACCACGTTTCTGGCCAGTCTAACAAGCCACTGTCGCGTCCGGCACATGCCCTGTCTACTGAAGAAGTAATCCGGGAGCTCAGAGCCAACCCTGATGATGGTCTGACCCCAGAAGAGGCCAATACTCGTCTTGACGAGTATGGCCGCAACGAATTTGGCGCCGACAAAGGCGTCCAACCCATCAAAATTCTCATCGGACAAATTGCCAATGCCATGACCTTGGTAAGAACCACGCTTGGTAGTCTCGTTTGAAGCTGGCTAACTGGCTCGACTAGGTCCTCATCTTGGCCATGGGTGCTTCTTTTGGAATCAAATCCTGGATCGAAGGTGCCGTCGTAGCAGGCGTCATCACACTAAACATCGTCGTCGGCTTTCACCAAGAGTTCAAGGCCGCAAAGACCATGGATTCCCTCCGTTCTCTCAGCTCACCAACGGCCCAGGCTGTCCGCGAGGGCAGAAACGTCACAGTCCCTACCGTCGAGATTGTTCCTGGCGATATGGTTGAGCTCAAGACTGGTGATACAATCCCTGCCGATGTGCGCATTGTTGAAGCCGTCAACTTCGAGACCAATGAGGCCCTTTTGACGGGAGAGTCTCTTCCCATCCGCAAGGAGGCTGCGCAGACATTCGAGGACGACACCGGCCCCGGTGACCGTCTCAACGTCGCTTACAGCTCCTCAACAGTCACAAAGGGGCGCGCCCGCGGCATCGTTTTCGCTACTGGAATGTACACCGAAATTGGCCAGATCGCCGCCGCCCTCAGAGGCAAGAACTCTCGCCGCCGCGACGTCAAGCGCAAGGAAGACGGCTCCGCTTCCTTGGCCCGCTATGTCCAAGCATGGACACTTACCCTCTCCGACGCTGTTGGACGCTTCCTTGGAGTGAATGTAGGAACGCCTCTCCAGAGAAAGTTGTCCAAGCTCGCGATCCTGCTTTTCGGCACCGCTGTCGTCTGCGCCCTGATCGTTTTGGGTGCTAACGACTTCAACACGACGCAAGAAGTTGTTATCTACGCTGTTGCTACTGGTCTCGCCATGATCCCTGCATCCTTGGTCGTCGTTTTGACTATCACAATGGCTGCTGGTACCAAGAGAATGGTCCAGCGCCATGTCATTGTCCGCCAGCTAAAGAGTTTGGAGGCTCTTGGGGGCGTCACGAGTGAGTCAACTGTATCGATGCCCTTGTTTCGCTACTAATACATTCCAGACATTTGCTCCGATAAGACCGGAACTCTGACCCAAGGAAAGATGGTTGTTCGCAAGGCCTGGATCCCCGGAAAAGGAACCTTCTCTGTCAGCAATACTAAGGAGCCCTTCAACCCTACCGTTGGCGACCTCGGTCTTCAGCCGGCACAGCCCAAGGACATCGACTTCCAAGGCCAGGACGGCGAGGGCGAGCAGATCTCTGGCCCCGAAGAGATGGTCCTCCAAAGCAGAGTCCTCATTGACTACTTCAACATCGCCTCGCTCGCCAACCTGGCCAATGTCCACAAGACTGCTGAGGGCGAGTGGCATGCCCGTGGCGACCCGACCGAAATTGCTATTCAAGTTTTCGCCTCCCGCTTCAACTGGAACCGCCTCCGTTTCTCCGGCGAAAACAGCCGATGGCGCCAAATCGCTGAGTTCCCCTTTGACTCCGACGTCAAGAAGATGTCCGTTATCTTCGAGGACACCGAGGCTGGCAGTGATGGGAAGGAAAGCAAGACCTGGCTCTTCACTAAGGGTGCTGTTGAGCGCGTCATCTCTTCGTGCCCTAAGATTCAAATGGGCGACGATGTTGTCGATCTCACCAAGGACATTGAGAACGATATCTTGAGGAACATGGAGGCGCTTGCTCGCCTTGGTCTTCGTGTCCTTGCCTTTGCTAGCAAGTCTGACATTGGTACCGTTGACAACCATGAAAACTTGGACCGCGCAAACTTTGAGAAGGAGCTTACCTTCCGCGGCCTCATCGGTCTTTATGATCCTCCTCGCCCCGAGTCTGCGCCTTCCGTCAAGCAATTTCACCAGGCTGGTGTCAGCGTCCATATGTTGACTGGCGATCACCCCGAAACCGCCCGTGCCATCGCTCTGGAGGTCGGAATCCTTCCTACTCGCATGAACGAGATCTCTTCTGATGTCGCAAGAACTATGGTTATGGCCGCTAGCGACTTTGACAAGCTCTCTGATGATGAGATTGACAAACTGCCCCGTCTTCCTCTTGTTGTCGCACGCTGTGCGCCCCAGACCAAGGTGCGCATGATTGAGGCTCTCCACCGACGTAGGCGCTTCGTGGCCATGACCGGTGACGGCGTCAATGATTCTCCTAGTCTGAAGCGCGCCGATGTCGGTATTGCGATGGGCGAGAGCGGCTCTGATGTTGCCAAGGAGGCATCCGATATTATTCTCACGGACGATAACTTTGCCTCTATTCTTAACGCTGTCGAGGAAGGTCGGCGTATGTTCGATAACATCCAGAAATTCGTTTTGCACGTGTTGGCCTGTAACGTCGCCCAGGCTTGCACTCTGCTCATTGGTCTAGCCTTCAAAGACGAGAGTGGCCTGTCCGTGTTCCCCCTGGCTCCTGTGGAGGTCATGTGGATTATCATGATCACTTCCGGTCTTCCTGATATGGCGCTCGGTTTTGAAGTCGCTGCACCTGATATCATGGACCGACCGCCGCAAGACGTAAGTGGTGCTCAAAACCCGTTATTCGTTGAATTAGTGCTAACAACTCGAACAGATGAAGATTGGCGTCTTTACCTGGGAGCTCATGCTCGACATGCTCGTCTACGGTCTCTGGACCGCCGCCCTTTGCCTTGCGTCCTTCTTGCTCGTCATGTTCGGCTGGGGCAACGGTGACTTTGGCGTGAACTGCAACAACGATTATTCCGACCGCTGCGATACCGTGTACCGCGCCCGCGCTACCTGTTTCGCCGCACTCACCTGGTTTGCGCTCTTCCTCGCCTGGGAAATGGTCAACATGCGACGCTCCTTCTTCCGCATGCAGCCCAAGAGCAAGAAGTACTTTACGCAATGGTTCTGGGACACCTGGCGCAACAAGCTTCTGTTTTTCGCCATTATCATCGGCTTCGTGACCATCTTCCCGCTCACCTACATTCCCGTCCTCAACACCAAGGTGTTCAAGCATGCTCCCATCACCTGGGAGTGGGGCATCGTTTTCGTGTGCGCCGTTTTGTTCTTTGCCGGTATCGAGGCCTGGAAGTGGGCCAAGCGCATCTACTTCCGTCGCCAGTCGCACAAGCAGCATGGCGCCAACCCGGATCTCGAGAGTCGTGTCTTCGGTCACTACTACACTATTGGTGGCGTCGAGCTCGAGTCTTCGCCGACTCTGGGCAGCAGGACCATGACCAACGAGAAGGAGATGCGGGAGAAGGGTGGCAATGGGTACTCGAGCGCGGGTAGCCGGTGATGTTACCGTCTATTTGAACAAAAGTGATTCTAGCTGTAGGCGAATCCTGGAAGAGGAATAGGGGGTGGAGAGGAGACGAAAAGAGGCGCTTGTCAGATGACGATACCTCATGAGCACGATTCACGCCAGTTTGCTAGTATAGAGACGGGTTACATCAACCGAGAATGAAAAGTTCCTGCTTTGTCGAGAGCTTCAGTAGGACCGGCCACAAGCATCGAATCAATAAATCCAGTTATGATCTAATACGCTTGGCTCGTCTTTTGCCTTAAAACGAATGATGACATGTGATCGTTCGCCTTGGAGCTGGCTTCTGGGAACATCCAGGTCACGGAAGCCCTCAAGTCGGTCCCACCCTACGGCACCTACCCTCAACTCCACAACGTCCCCGCGATAATTATCACATTATGCGCAGAATTTTCAACAACATCCGATATGGTGTAGTGGCCAACATGATGCCCTCTCATCTCTGTGAGAGGTTAGGCATAGCCCCGAGTTCGATTCTCGGTTTCGGAACGTATGTTTTTGCATTTTTGCACCATTCTTCGAAGTCATGCCGCTTCCTCACTGTGGCTCGGCTCATGGCGACTCCAATCATCATGGGGAAGAGCGAAATGTGTCCATAATCTAACATGCTATCTAAACAAAACATTTGTCGCCTCTACCAGTCAATCTAATAACCGTACGCCATGTACACCACCCACCTAGTCCGACTCACTTAGAGCTTCGCGCGACCCCTCCAAGGCTGACCCATCTCATCCTTGTACGTCGCAAGCTCGTTGCGCTTGCTGTCTCCGCCGTGGCTGACCTGCACCGGCTCGTCAAACACGGACTTGTTCTCCCTCTCCTTCCTCTGAGCTGCGTCGACGTACTCCCGCTCCCCCTCGCCAATGTACAGCTGCCTCGGGCGCCAGATCTTGACGCCGCCCTTCTGCAGCATCTGCTGCCTCCAGTGCGCCAGCCAGCCCACGCAGCGCGGCACGGCGAACAGCACCGGGTAGAAGTCGAGCGGGAAGCCCATGGCCTGGTAGATGAGGCCGGAGTAGAAGTCGACGTTGGGGTACAGGTTGCGCTTCTTCATGAACTCGCTCTCGCGCGCGTACTTTGCGAGCTCGAGCGCCGTGTCGAGCAGCTGGTTGCGGCCCGTGACGGCGAAGACCTCTTCGGCCAGCTGGCGGATGGCCGTCGAGCGCGGGTCGACGTTCTTGTACACGCGGTGGCCGAAGCCGACGAGCACGCGCTCGCGCTTCTCGACCTTGGCCATGAAGGCGGGCACGTTCTCGGGGCTGCCAATCTCCATCAGCATGCGGATGGCGCTCTCGCTGGCGCCGCCGTGGCTGGGGCCGTAGAGCGCGGCGCAGCCCGCGGAGACGACGCTGTACGGGTCGACGAGACTGGAGCCGACCTGCAGGACCGTGGCCGTGGAGCAGTTCACCTCGTGGTCGGCGTGGATGATGAAGAGCGCGTCCAGGGCCTTCTCGAGGACCGGGTGCGGCTGGTACTCGTGTCCGCTGAGGTGGTCGAGGAGGTAGAGGAAGTTGCCGGTGTAACTGAGGCCCTGGGCGGGGCGGTTGAACGGTCTGCCCTGGCGCATGCGGTAGGAAGCGGCCGCAAGGGTGGGAGCCTTGCCGATGATGCGGAGGATCTGCTTGTCGAGCATCTTGAGGGCCTCCGGGTCGCCGGATGCCGCGTTGGTGTAGAGCTTCTGACCCTGCAAGCTGGGGTTGGACTCGGGCGCGAAGGCACCAAGAGCGGAGAAGGAGGACTGCAGCATGGCCATGGGGTGCGTGTCGTAACGGAAGGACTTGAACATGCCCTCGATGTCGCTGTGGATGTAGGTGTGGTGCATGATCTCATCCTGCCACTTGTTGTACTGCGTCGACGTCGGCAGCTCGCCGTAGATGAGGAGGAACGCGCTCTCGAGGAAGTGCGACTTGTTCACCAGCTGCTGGATGGGGTACCCGCGGTACCGGAGGATTCCATCCTGGCCGTTGATGTATGTGATGTTGCTCTGCACGACGGCGGTGTTCATGTAGGCCGGGTCGTACACGCGGAGACCCTGGTCCGTCTCATCCTCAGCGCGGTCATTGCCTCTCGCGGCCTTGATCTTCTTGATGTCCGTAGCCTGAACGGAATTGTGAGTGATGGGCAGCTCGTAAGACTTTCCGGTGCGGTTGTCGACGACAGTGAGAGACTGGCGCGGAGCGGGTGTCGCGCCACGTGGCGCATTCTTCACAGTAGTGACCATTTTCTTTTTGAGTTATTCTGCCCAAATTCGAATTGAGTTAAGATAGAACAGATCAGGCAAAAAATGAGATGGCAGTTTCACACAATGGTCTTTGATGAGAGAGACTTCTTGTATCCGTACATGGGGAGACAATGCGCGTCACCCGGACAGCTGAAAGGAGGTCCGGCTGGCGTCGGGGGTCGGCAGTGCTGGCCCGAGTGCCGAGGTTGTTTTCCATGCTCCTAATGCGGTAAGATCTGATGCCTGTAGCGTGGGAAGCTCAAGCACATGCCAGGGGTCCCAAAGTCTCGTTGGGTGTTTCGTCGATTGAGCTGCAAGAGACACATGCCATTGTTTGTGAACTTGATCACAGGTCCGACCCGTTGGTTCTGGATTGCTGGAAAACGGACGAGCGGATGAGCTTAATGGAGGGCGCTAGCAGAGTTGCATTTCCATTGCAGATACAGGGGAGGATCCTTGTATGATCAGCTAAAATGACGGGAGACGAACGGCCAACAGCGCTGGCGTCCTTCTAGAGAGCTTCATCAATCTGGGGTATGTATGGGCTGGACACTAGGTCCTGGCCCCAGGATTGCACCAAGGACTTGCCTTTGATCAAGTGGGCTTGGCCTCTTTCATATGTAGGACCTCGGCAATGACTGTTTGGGGGCGCAACGTATCGCGATTGACAATTATGACAAGTGATAGAGTTGGTTGGCTCTTGTGGTGCATGGTGCATAGGTAGTCATGCCCGCCGTGGACTGAGAATTTGTTCTCCTTCCCGTCCTGTGAAGACGAGCAGCCCAATTTCGAAATCAACTCAGTACCAGACTTGAGAGTGGTGTTCGTCTGTTCAGGACCGCAGGTTCAATGATATTTAGCTCCTTTTATCTCTTCTCGTCACCTTTCCCATCGGGATAAACCCATGAACCCATCTTCAAGTCCCAGAACACCATGGCTCAGGCCCGACAAAACCCACCTCCGGTCCCCGCGGCCGCGACACGGCCGGAAATTCATCTCTTGGCGGAGACCCTCACCAGCCTGAATCCCGTCGGAGTCGGCATCGTCTCCGTCGCTGGAATTTGGTCCGACCGGAGTGGATTCACTCAAAGGATGATCTTTTGTAACATTCGCGAATAGTTCATTGGCTGTCGACCCTTGAATGCATCCTGCAAGCGCATAAGCAGCTCCTCTCCGCGCATGACGTAAATCCGTTTGAGAACCTCCACAGCGGCGGTCCTGAACTATGTTTTGCGGAACCGAGGCCACTACCGAACGCCATCCCCGCAGGACTCCAAACTCCGGACCTGACCCCTCATCTCAACATATATTCTGCTGAGGCTGAAGTCAGCAGAAGAATTATTTCGCAAGAGGACTATTAGGAACTCATCCAAACACTATCGAACTTACACACGCTTGGTTGAGCCATCTCAGACGAAGACATTGAGAGCTTCTTGTCTCACTTACAGGCGTTCCTACGGGTAGAGCACGACTGAGACACTCACGCAGCACCCACCAAACCGTCAGCAACTCAAAATGGCGGCGTTGGTGCCAGTTCTTGTGGCTGGTCTGGCCGTCTTTGGTGGTTACACCTACGGGCCAGCCATCAAGCAAACAGCGACGGTTCTCGGAGTATCACGGACCGTCAATAATACGCCTGTCGCGCACGGCGGCGACCTCGTTTACATCGGCGACACGATTCATTGCGAGGATATTCACCACCATGAGGCGAGCGGGCTCCTCTTCACTGCGTGCGAAGATGACACAGAGACGCGCAAGGCATGGTTTCCGCCGCTTGGAACTTTCGAGGACCCGGTCAAGGCAAGCAAGTCTACGGGCTCTATTCATATCATCGACCCCAAGGTAAGTTCAATGTGGCTGGAGGGTAATGTGCAAGTCAACTGACAGGCCCGCCAGGACATGACCACTAAGCGCCTCAAGTTCGAGAACTTTGACAGCACTTTCATTACTCACGGCATCGATGTCATTTCCGACCCGGAAAAGGCTGACGCCGTCTATGTGTTTGCCGTCAACCACGTTCCTCACGCCGAGTATCTCGCAACCAAGGTTGGAGGCCAAGGCGACCAGAAGGTCTTGGACAAGGCCCAATCTCGGATTGAAATCTTCCATCACATCCTGGGCTCATCCACCATCAGGCATGTGCGCTCCGTTCAGCACCCGCTTGTCAAGACGCCCAACGACATTTTCATCAAGGATCCGCACTCCTTTTACGTCACCAATGACCACTTCTACCGCGAGGGAACGATGCGCCTCATCGAGGACCTGTGGCCTGGCGCATCTTGGACAGACACTATCCACGTCACCATTGACAAGCTTTCTGCGCTGAAGCCCACAGACGGCGTCACGGCGCAGGTTGCCTACGAGGGAATGAGAAATAACAACGGCCTGGGCCACTACAAGCCTGGGTACATCCTCATTGACGATTGTTCCGGCGCCGCGATGCACATTGGCAAGCTGTCTTCGGACCCGAAGAACGTCACCATCGATATCGAAGATTCCGTTCATTTTGACTCCTACATCGATAACCCCAGCTATTTCAACGACCCGTACAAGTCCGAGACCCAGGATGCCAGCGGCTTCATCCTGCCAGGTCTCATCCGGCCCTTTGATATTGTAAAGCAAATTGGCGATCCTACCTCTAACATCGGATCTATTGTCTGGTATGCGAAGCCGATCGCGAACTGCGACAGTGCCAAGGCCGAATGCTGGGAGAAACGCGCTCTATTTGAGGATGATGGAACCAGAATTCGTTCAGCTGCCGGCGCAGTCTTGGTGGGCATTGACCCGGCCAAGGAGAACAACAAGAAGAAGGCGTGGCTCTTTGTCACCGGCTTCTACTCGAGCGCCGTCCTGGCGGTCAAGGTTGATCTTTAAAGGCTGTCTTTTGATGGCCAGACTGTAAAAAAGTTCTTCAAATGAAGCCGGCGAAGTTTTGGTGGTGTGTTTTGAAGTCGGGCACAGGGGATTTGGCATACGCCCATGGTATTTGGTCTTGCAAGGCTCAAAAGTGGAAATAATGAGACGTTGGGTGTGAAGAGAGTTGAAAGAGCAGCTTATGAGAGCCATGTGAAAGTGAGAGATAATTCTAAAATCACCAACCTGAAGGCTGAGCACTTTGATTGAAACTTGGTGATCACATATGAGCGCTTGTCAAGTTTGTTGGAGACGTTCTCTTTCAATCCACGATAGGATCCTAGCAACCAGACTATGTACCAAATGTTGCCAAAATATCTCAGGTATCTCATCCTTCAGGTATTAATACAGAATACGACAAAATACAATCTTGCCTCCCACTTCCAAATATGGGGGGAGTACGCATGAGTGAACAAAAGGTATATATACACAAGCTTAGATTCCAACCTTGACCGTAAAGTGGCGCTCTATTGGTTCTCCAAAACATCAAAGATACCCTCCATGACAGGTGGCGTCGTGTCGGCTCTGATGGGCTTATCAAATGAGAAGGAGTCCATCGACAGGATGGGAGTCGTGGCGACGGAGTTGCCCAGCGAGATTGATCTTGTCCCTACCGACGACGACGCCCGCGGCCGGGGTTCAAGCATGCCCAAGCCAATCTCTTCGGCGCCGGAGGCATTGCGCTCAGCGTCAAGCATCATGTCCAGCCTGGATGAATGGCGCCGGAGAGGCCGAGACCCGGGCCAACTGGGCGTCTGGGTCATGGCTCGCCTGGCCGAGTTGGGGCGAGGCAAAGGGAGTGAGACGGGGGAAAGATGATTCGAAGACGGAATAGAGGAGAAGCTGGGAGTTCGTAGTAGAGGCTGCTGGGTGGTCGACGACTGGTACTCAAGCTCGAGAAGCATGAGAAGGTCTGTGACAGTGACACCATCAGGGAGGCTGAAGTCAGGCCGAGGGATGCGCTTGTATGCGACAGACTTCGTCCTGCTCCTGTTCTTGGGCGGCTGGAGAGAGCCGGTCTCAACAGCCAAGCCCTCCGGTCTTCCCCGGGGAACGGGGACCGGGACGTCCGGCTCGCTTGGTCGACGAACTTCGCTTGCACAACTAGGCCGGCGCGCATCACTTGCGTAACTCGGCCGGCGTGCGTCCCCGCCGGCAAAGGTGGTGAAGCTCGCGTAGCTAGGACGGCGATCGCCCGGCTCATCCGGCAGGCTCGGGACGTCACCGGCAAACCCAAAGTCGAAGGCAGGGTCATTGGGCTGATTGCCAAAGGTGTCTCGCTTCTGTGGGGGCTGGAAGTCGATGGTGTCCGTCCGTCTTACTGGCTTGACCTCCGGTGCGACCTCGGGATCAGTCTTCGGCTGAGCCACCGAATCGCGGGTTCCATTGCCGGAGAACCCGAAGTCGAATAATGAGAAGTCGGAAGCCCGCTTGTCACTCTGCTGAGCCGGCCTTGGCTCGGGTGATGGCGACGGCTTCTGCTCAGGTCGGGGGCTGAGCGGTTGGGTGAGAGACTGGGGTTCCGGGGTCTTGAGAGGCGAGCTATATAAGGGTTGATGCGTGGCAGGGCTCTCCGGGCGTGAGCGTTGGCGCAACGACGGCGACCTTTGGAATGCCGACTGCAGACGAAGCTGCCCTCGTTGAGACTTGGAGAGCTGTCGTTGTACGCCGAGCCCAGGCACCGCTGGTGAAGATGCATCCGATGCAGACACAGGTTGTGCAGCGGGCATCATGCTCATTCTCCTCAGGGAGCTGAGGGAGTCCGGGGTCTTGGTCTCGAATGCCGACACTGCCTTGGAGACGGGGACATTTTGATGGCCAGTATGGTTCATCTCCTGGATGAGATACTGCAGTTGGTTGTCGTCGAGGTCGGCCAGGACCTCGTACAGGGAGCCGAAGGACGATGAGGGCTTGTGTCCCTTGCGATGAGACGGCGCCGGAGACTCCATGGCGGCTGATGGTTGCTGGTGGTAGTTACTGTAGTAGTGGGAGTGGTAGTGGGAGTGGTAGTACTGCGTCGACCTGGTCGAGAGCAACGTCTGTCGGCAGCGCTGGCTGTGAAACCGAATCTACACCGTCGCCTGTTACACTGGCGGCGGATGATGGACATGAACTCAGTCGAGGGGGACGACGAAGAAGGCGGAGGTCATTCAAGGTTGCTGTGCTTGCTGGGCAGCGTGTTCGTGTCGCACCGCACCGATGTGCTCCTGTCAAAGCCCTGCTCGACAGGTTTGTGTGGAGTCGACGTGCAGCAAGGAGACAAGCTTGCATGCAAGGCGAAGAAAAAAAAGAAAAGCAACGCGCAGAGTAGCAGCAGAGATCCGCTTCCTCGATGACGGGTGGAGCAGCGAGTTTGAATTGGATGTCGTGAAAATGCCAAAAGTCCGAAGCAGTCGCACGTACACAGTGCCTTGCCTTACTCGCGAGGGGAGGGAAAAAAAAGGCTTGGGATAACTCGTGACAAGTCGGGATATCAGAGCCCATGCCTGCCGATGCCCCCTTTTCGAAAAGGTCGCGCCAAATCATTAAAGCGAAATGATGAGTAATTTGGCACGCTGGGGCGACATCGAGCCCGTCGCAGGGGTCTCGTGGCGCGTTTGGAGCGCGTTACAAAACCTCTTGTACATGGCCCGTGCCGGGCACGTGGAGATCAAACAGAGAGATGAAGGGGAGAGCCGTTATGGGGTCTGATTGACAGCTGACAGGAGGAAAAATGGGCGCTGTTTCTTTGAGTTGATTAAATTTCCGAAACTTTATTCCAAACTGTTGGCTTTGGCAATGACGTGAAACACTGGTCGGATGAGCTAGAGGTCGTGACTTTGGGCTGTAAGTGATATATCCCAGTGAAGAGTGAGTGTGTGAAAATAGCTCATTGAGATCTGAGACTCGGCGGAAGATAAGAATGAGATTGAGTGAGATGAAGTGAGAGAAGATGATTGAAGTTACATCATGTAATAAGAGGATAATACAATCAGTCTCAGCATGTCATTGAGAAGAATCAATAGTTAGTGTGGCTCTGTTTTCGCTTTTTAGTAATGCTATTTTGTGATCCCCAACGCCCTTAACATCGCCCTCTCACTCATAACTCATTCACCAATGTCGCTCAATCACTCATTCAGACTGCCTGTGCGAGCCAAGCACAGACTTCTAACGCCTCCTCATAGAGAACGAGTCTCCTGCGTGGTACACCTCCTGAATGAATCGATCTGCATCGCTGATCATCCTGATGCTCTGATCCACGCTCGGAGAGGTCGGGTCTCCCATGACGGACTGCCAGCTCTGTAGAAGCTGCTTTAAATGATCACCAGCTCCGAGTATATCAGAGGGGATCATGTCTTTGAGTTGCGGAATACGGCAGGCTGCAAGCAAGACAAGCATTGCACCGGCCATCCTACACGCGTGGCACTTTGTTAGCTATGTTCTTCAGCATGAGATGTGTTCACTTACGAGAGCGAGCAAATCCACGTGTCTACCAGAACCGTCTGTCCAAACCCCCTGAGGTTGAGGATGTGCAACAAACAAGCATCCAGACAAGCCTTGCAATTATTCAAAGAGTCCTGGTTGATGAGGAGTTCAGAATTTGCCTCACCACGGCCAGCCCTACCGCTCAGCATCCACATCAGGTATGGCCGGTATATCACACTCCGGCAGGTGAGGTATCTCTGCCGTAAGAACCCACCGTGCTCTGTCGGGGTGCTCTGGTTGCCGATGTTATTAAAGCCTACCTCAAACTTGAAGGCGGCCGGGAGGACATCGCGCCACTCGTCCAGTTGGTGGTTCAGCTCGGCCACGACGTAGGGGAAGCGGGTGTGGTCGAGGGCGGTGCCGGTGTCGCGTGCGTAGAGGAGCTGGTGGACGCGATTGAGGAGGCGGCGCATGGAGATGCAGGCGAGGAAGTACAATGAAGACTTCTCTTCGACTTTGCTGTCACGATGGGTATTGTATTGGCCCGGCAGGGCCGTGGAAGATTCGATCCGGGCGATGCCTGATTGGGGCAGGCCATTGAGCTCCGCGAGGTAGTCGCTGAATCACGTTAGTCAAATTTGGCAGAGGTAAGGCCGGAAGGATGGTTATTACCTCTCCAGAATATAGCACGACCAGAAGATCCTGCGAATGCGTTCCTGGTCTTCTTCTGATTCTGACTCCGGAGAATAAGACAGCAGTAGGAGACACTTGGCGGAGGCTGCATTGATGTACTCCCATGCCTGCAGCGGCCGACGGAGAAAGGCAAAGTACATGCTGCGAGACCAATCGGGTCAGTTCCTGCATGAGATTTTCGCCAAAAACGGGATGGGCGCTTACGCTGTAAAGAAGAGACAATGGGTTGCAGTGCTGCCCACATTAGTGTGTACGACATGCAGCTTCTTCAGCACGCTGTCAAAGTACATGTCGCCCATGGCCCGTCTGGCGAGCCTCCGCTTCCGCTCCTCCTCGCTCAGCGTCGTCCCGGTGGTCAGACCGGCAGTTACTTGACCTGCGCAGCCGAGTGCCATCGTCAGAAGTGCCAGGCACACGAGGATGCTGTCTTCTTCAGGGATCCCATCTGAAATCAGCTTCCGCACTTGCGCGAGCTGACCGCAGGACATGGTCGGGTACCAGAAGTTGATGGTGAGCTCGAACGACTCGATGATGCCATCAATCTCCTCGGCGGTCACGTAAGGATACATGACCGTTGAGCGTGTCTTGACCACGGGCCGCGACTGCTCGAGGTGGAAGATGGAGACGTAGTCATCCTTCATGCTCGGGAAGGCCTCGAAGTGCGGCCATTGGAGGATGGACTCGGTGGTGCTCGTGTGCATGGAGTCCAGCACGGCGTTCTCGTAGTTGTTCTGGTACAGCGGCTCGGAGATGGGGGTGCGCTGCGGGTGGTGGATCTCGTTCAGGGGCGAGCCGGAGAAGGACCCGCGCGAGGCCGAGCGGAGGGCCGGCGAGACCACGGCCGGACGACTGTCGGTGAACGGCGGCGCGCCCTTGAAGACCCCATCGTGAGACGGGTTCGGTGAAAAGTGGAACGAGGAGGCGGCGGGACTGACGATGGTGGCCTTCATCTCGTGGAGGAACTTCTCCACCCTCAGTACGCCCTCGAGGATGAGGTCGCTCTTCCCGCGTCTGATGACATGCAGCACATGAATGGTCAGAGCTTGGTCTCCTTTGTCTCTTCTCTTCGCGCGAGTCCCCGGGTGGGCTTGATTCGCCCGCCGGGGATCACGGCGCCGACAGCCGGGCGGGACTTACGAGTTCGCCTCGGATCCATAGGTGCATTCCTGCTGCGATGCAGAGCACGAGGCGCATGGCGTGTTGCCGTTGCATCTGGGCGAGACATCGTTAATCTTCTCTTGTTTCCTGCAGATGGCGCGGAACCGAGAGCCTGGGACGACCTGGGCCTTGTTGCTTGGTCTTGGCCGCACGTACCTGATCTTCCTGGCGCGGCATGTATCGCACTGCGGGACGTGACGTCGGTCAGCTTCATGGTTCTTCGGAGAGATTGCCGCTCGGCGCCAGGGGAGGTGCCATTGCGGCTGCTGCTAGCAGGATAGATGGCATTCTCCACAGGTGGCAGATCATGGGGATGACAAAGTTGAGGATAAGCGCCGTTGTGCGCATGCCATTCCGAGTGGAATTGGACCATCGTGAAAAACCTGGCATTCTTGGTCTTTGGTGGTGGTCTAGACCCCAGTCTGTGCTGGGCATTTTGTCTCTCCCCCGAATACGGCCCGTAGCGACAACGCTTGGTTATGAACACCACAAGGACAATTACTGAACATCAGATGAGACGATCAAATTCAACTTACGGCATGGCTCGTCCTCAACCTCTTCCTCGACGGCTCAGTAATCGACTCATTGTCCATCGTCTCCATTGAATCAGTCGCAATCACGGGGTGGCAGGCATGGCGTAGCACCCAGTTCGGCCGTTGGAGGTCCTTCGATCCGAAGCGGACCGAGTGCAGAAGGCACTGGAGTTTGCAAGTGGGAAAATAAAAAAAAAGAATGGATGCACAAGGGGGGGCAAACGAAGAATCCTGGCAGAAGGGGGGGAGGAAATGCATTGGATACATATGCAAACCCACGTGTGGTGCGGGGGAGACACGCTGTGGAGAAGGGGGTGGGCGGGAGAATTGGAGAAATTGGACGGGCTTGGCCCAGGAAGGAAGCCTTGAGGGGAAGCTAGTTACGCGCTGCCTCGCTCCGCCATTCCCCGACTGCTTTCACGCGGTGAAGGTGACATTGGACGATGCTGTCGCTGGGGAACTGTCCGGGGATGTAGCCGTTCGAGGAAAGGCGGGCTGGACGAATTGGAGAAAACGCATGTGATGGGGGACACCGCTTGGCGAAATTACTGGACGTTATAAAGTGATCAGATGTTCTCTTCTTCATCGGTTGCGACATGGAACCTGGTACGGGAGTTTTGCTGTTGTTGGTCATTATGGTGCTGTCCTAGAGTCTGGTCTCACTCTTGCAGGAGGGCCGTGCCGCTCCAATCACGAAGCCTAGGCGGGCAAGGTTACCCCAATTATCCAATAATCCACCAGCGCACAAGAACTCGGCCGACATGTCAATCTCAGTTATTTCCTGAAAAAAATTGGAAATTTCCAGATATTTCTGGACGACATAGAGCACTGGGAGTATTATTATTTATGTGTACGCTAGCTGCGATAAGAGGCATGTGAAGCGGTACCGTGGATTGGCCCGGGCATCGGACCGGGCCCCGAGCCGGTATCGCCCCACAAGCATCGCCAAACCCGGGCCGGGGTGGGTCCTCAGACACCGGCCAACTTCTCGTCCACGTTCATGGTGTTCAGCACGGTCTGTGCGGACCGCTTCTCCAAACTCTTCTTGACAGGGTTGGGAGCACTGAAAACCTCCTCCAATTCCTCCAGAGTACGGTCCTTGGTCTCGGGGAAGAAGAAGTACTGGCCGAACAGTTAGTGACGCAACGTTAGGGTGGCTGCAATAGAACAGGTACTTACAATGAATACGGCCTCGAACAAGTCCCAGAAAATGAACACAATGTAGAAGTAGTACTTGATGTTAAGGAAGGCGGGCCCACTGGCGTACTGGATGATGGTGCTTCCGACGGCACTGGCAAAGTTGCCGACGGCAGTGCCCTTGGCACGGGTGGCCGTGTTGAGGGTCTCGGCAATGTACATGCTCTGAAGCGGTGTCCAGCCGAAACTGAAAACGATTCCAAAGATGTAAATGAAAGCGATCGTGGTGTTGGCAGCGGCTTCGTTGCTGGCGTCCTCCGTGGCAAGCTTCGAGGTTCCAGTGATGATGGCGAAGCAGAACGAGCAGAAGATGATGGAGTAGATCAAGAGGGGCCGGCGACCGACGACATCCGTCATACGGGCTCCAGCAAGGGCAGCTCCAAAGCACAGAATGGGGTTGATGGCGTTCAATGCCAAAACCTTCTTCTCGTCGTCGATGCCGGCGTTCTCTAGCAGAGCGGTCATGTAGTAGGAGCTCAGCGAGTTGCCAGACACCTGTCCAAAGACAGCCATGCCCAAGACGCAAATGAGTCTGCGACGAGCCGAGTGGGTGTTCCAAAGCTCGCTGTAGTCCCACCACTTCTTGTCAGACGCGTCGGTCCGGATCTGCTGTGCCATTTCCTTGAGCTGGAGCTGCACGATAGGGTGATCCATGGAGCCCTCGCCGTGGTAGGTCGCAAGGATCTTGGCGGCTTGCTCATGTTTGTCGTTTGCCATCAGCCACCGAGGAGACTCGGGGATGAAGAAGACGCCGACGCAAATGATGCCAGAAGTCACCTGGGTTTCTGTTAGGGGAACTGTGGGTGAGGGTTGAAGAATGGGCACCAACCATCTGAATCCAGATCGGGATACGCCAGCCACCGTCATGTTCGATGTATGAACATCCGTAAACGGTCCAGGAGGCGATGATCGAGCCGACATACCTGGAAACATCCAGTCAGTACACAGCAATGAACGCGATCGCTCCCAAAACATACCAAGTGCAGTTGTATACACCCGTAATGGTTCCTCTCCACGCTGGGTGGGCCATCTCGGACACGTAGGTGGGAGCGGAGACGCAAACGAAGCTGACGCCGAATCCTAGAACGAAACGTCCGGCAAGGAATTGGCCGGCGCTGAAAGCCATCAGTATGCTGCGTGCAGTGATGCGTCGGTGGGTACCTATTCTCACGTCTTGGTGGGGGCCTGGATGCAGGTGCCGATAATGACAATCAGGCTACCGATAAACATGCCCCATCTGCGTCCGAGATAATCGTTCGTGGGTCCGGTGAAGAAGACGGCGGCGACACTGCCGATGTTGTACATGGCAAAAATGATGCCGGTGCTCTGATCGACCGTCTCCCTATCAGTCACGTTAGGTAGATTACGAAAGTGCTGGCGGGGATTGCTGACTTGTTGAAGTAATTCATGTACGACTTCATGCCGTTGAGACCTCCCATCTACTGTGTGTTAACCAGTGAGGAACTTGGGCTATTTGCCATAGCACTCACGAGAGAGCCATCGTAGCCGTTGAGAGCACCGCCAAGGTAAGCTAGGTACAGGTAGTTAGGAAACCATCATTGAGATATTCGAAGCATGGCACGACGTACCGATGATCAGAATGCCGTAAAGACGGAACATGGACTTTGTCCAAGGCGAGTACTGGCCTTCCTGGGACTCGTGGGCGATCTGGACGGCGGCATCGACATGGACCTCTGGCGAAGTACCGGCCGGGCCGGGCCTCTCGGCGACGTGTTCGCCGGCCGCCATGTCGGACTTCTCGGCGGACATTGTGGGTTGAGATGCAAGATAATACCAAGTACCAATCTATGCGTAGGCAGACCAACACGGGCTCACACCAAGTGGACCAAGTGGTCAGGAACAGTGGAGAGACGTGGAGAGATCGAGTCTTGGATGGGTTCCATCGATGGAGACGAAGGATGGAGAGGGCGATAACATGGCCCTCTTAAATGCTGCGACGACCAACCCCAGCCTGTTCAAGACACAAGCTCTCCCCGCATTCGGGCCATCAGATCATTCGAAGAAGGTCACAAAAAAAGAAGAAAACCTGGGGTGTCAAGAGTCACGGCCGACCGTCAGCCCGACAACACGGGTGCGCTTGCAGTTCTCGGCCCACATTAGCCGGGGGTCTAGACGGAATTCGATCTGGGGTAAAAGACAAAAGAACTTTCCGTCCGTGGGAACATCAGACTAGACGAACAGGGTCTGTAGAATGGGATGGATGGAGGGTTGGAGGGCAAGGGGAAGGGAGCGAGATGGATGGTTGGGGGGGGGTCGGGGGTGTGAGTGTGTGTGTGTGGCAGATGTTGCAGCGGTGTTAGCCCCCGAGGTCCAGTGGTCCTCTGCTGCGAAGGTGTGGGGCCGGCCCCGACTTCCCCGAACCCACCTAATAGATGCCCACCACCCCCGGTCCGGGGAAGCTATGCCCCTTGTGGCCTTGGACTCTACTCCTCCTCCGGGGTTTCATTTGTTAGCTCAGCAAGGGGGCCACTGTTTATGTCAGCACCCGAATGTTCTGGTCACGTTAACAGTGGACCCCTGTCCAAGCTAACATATGAGATCCCGGAGGAGGAGTAGGTTTGGTGCGGACCTTCTCCGACGAGGGGTGGAGGGGTAACGCGAAGACCTCCACTGCATGCGAAGAGGTATCTCTCTCGGGGTAGTTTCCCTCGTTACACCGACCACCCACCCGCCTGGCCGCCTGACTCGGAGCTACCCCGAACAGAGCAGTGAGGGGCAGCGACTTGCAAGAAGCACCCGTGGACCTCACTCTGCACCGGCCTGCAGTTGCCCCACGTTCACTCGTCATACCTTAAGGTACCTATGGCGGGACAACGCTGCTTCACGAGAGCAAACTTGCAGATTGGATGGATAGCAGTCCCTTTCCCCAGACACGTTACTTCGCGTGGAGCTTTGAGCGTGAATAAATAACCCTACGACCGTGGGTTGCCGGCCGACTTGTCTGCCCTCTCCCTCCTCCTCCTCCTCCTCCTTCGTTTGTCTCCCTCTCTCTTCTTCGTCTTTGGCCGTCGTCTCCATCGTCGTCTCCATCGTCGTCTCCATCGTCGTCTTCGTCTTTGTCGTCGTCGTCGTCATCGTCGTCGTCGTCCTTCCTCTCTGACACGCCCTTGGCCGTTCAATCCGTCTACCAAGCCATCGTTACCCCTCCTCCGAAACCGCCACGATGGCCCCCCAAAGCTTACCCCTCCAAGCAAAGGAGGGCGTCCACGACTACGAAAACCCTGAGGTGTTCCGTCGCAATACCCTTCCCCCTCGCGCATACTTCATTCCTGAGACCTCCATACTCCTCAATGGCGTTTGGGACTTCCACTACGCTGGCACTCCTGGCGAGGCCCCGTTGCCTGACGACAAGGACGACAAGTGGGAAACCATCAACGTCCCCGGACACTGGCAGCTCCAAGGCCATGACTACCCGTGGTACACCAACACCCAGTTCCCTATTCCCGTCGACCCGCCCTACGTTCCCAGCGAGAACCCCACCGGCACATACAGACGTACCTTCCACGTCCCCTCCACATGGGACGAGAAGTCTCAATTGCGCTTGAGATTCGATGGTGTCGACAGTGCCTATCACATCTGGGTCAACGGTGTCCTCATTGGTTTCGCCCAGGGCTCGCGCAACGCTTCCGAGTTCGACGTCACGAGCATTCTCAACCGGGATGGCCCCAACGAGGTCTTTGTGAGAGTCTACCAATGGTCTGACGCCACTTACATCGAGGACCAGGACCAGTGGTGGCTGTCCGGTATGGAACCCTTACCCCTGTCCATGTCGTCTTTCTTTCCTCTAACCAATTGGCATAGGTATCTTCCGCGATGTCACCCTCTTGGCCGTGCCTGAGCCTGCCAGAATCGAAGATTTCTTCCTTCGCACCGACCTAGACGACAAGTACGAGAATGCCACCCTTCTCGCCACCGTTGACGTCAAGGCCGCCGAAAAGGGCACCGTCAAGCTCACTCTCAGCGAGCTGGGCAAGAACGGCGGCGCCGTGATTGTCACCAAGGAGGCTGAAGTCAACGCCAACGACTCCAAGGTCGAGCTCAGCATCCCCGTCACAAATCCCCAGAAGTGGACTGCAGAGACGCCCTACCTCTACCGCGCCGAGATCACCTTCGCCTCTCATACAGTTTTCCAGAACATTGGCTTCCGCAAGGTCGAGCTCAAGAACGGATTGATCTCTGTCAACGGTACCCCTATCCGCATCCGCGGTACCAACCGCCACGAGCACCACGCCCACTTCGGTCGCGCTGTTCCCCTCGACTACGCCAAGCGCGACCTTCTTCTGATGAAGACTCACAACATCAACTCCCTGCGATGCTCACACTACCCCCCTCACCCCAAGCTCTTCGAGCTTGCCGACGAGCTCGGTTTGTGGGTCATGGACGAGGCCGATCTCGAGTGCCACGGCTTCTATGACTGCATCGCTCGTCCGCAGGACGTTCAGGAGGAGGCCGACTACGAGGAGCGCAAGGCAGTCACTTTCCCCAAGGCTGGCAAGTACACCAGCGAGAACCCCGTTTGGCGCGAGGCCTACCTTGACCGTATGGTCCAGTTGGTTCAGCGTGATAAGAACCACACTAGCATCATCATGTGGTCTCTCGGTAACGAGGCATTCTACGGCGAGAACCATAAGGTCATGTACCACTACGCCAAGAAGTTTGATCCCGGCCGTCCGATTCACTACGAGGGCGATGTCAATGCCGAGACCGCCGACATGTTCTCTTACATGTACCCTCCCATTGACCGCTTGACGCGTCTCGTCACAACCGAGCAAGTCAAAGAGGACGGCAAGTTTGACAAGCCAGTCATTCTGTGCGAGTACGGACACGCCATGGGCAACGGCCCTGGTGGTCTGGACGACTACATCGAGGTTTTTGAGAAGTTCCCTCGTCTCCAGGGTGGCTACATCTGGGAATGGGCCAACCACGGTATCTGGAAGGAAGATCCCGACGGCAAGAAGTACTACGCATATGGCGGAGACTTTGGCGAGCGTCCTCACGACGGAACCTTCGTCATGGATGGTCTTCTTCACAGCACCCATGACCCTACCCCTGGTCTGATTGAGCTGAAGAAGGCTTACCAGCCTCTCTCCCTCTCTGTTGAAGAGAACAAGCTCGTTATCTGGAACAAGTACGACTACGTTGGCGTCGACCACCTCTCCGCCTCTTACAAGGTGGAGGAGTTGGGTGAGAAGTAAGTCAACTACTACCTACGCCTAACGCACCGAAGCCAGAGTACTAACGATTGGACCATAGCTCTGCTCTCCTCGCCGCTGGCAACCTCGAGGTTCCCACGATCGCCGCTGGCGAGACGGCCAAGGTCGATCTGCCGTCCTCCCTTTCGAGCATTAAATCTGACAAGGAGGTCTACATCACCATCACCTTCCGTCTGAAGGACTCTACCAACTGGGCGGAGCCCGCTCACGAGATTGCCTGGATTCAGCACAAGCTGTCCGGCGTCGCACTCGTTCCCAAGCTCGGTCATGATACGCTCAGCTCCAAGCTGCAGGTCAAGCAAGTTCGCTCAACAGCAACCATCTCCGGTTCCGACTTCACCTTCACATTTGACACGGCCCGCGGCTACCTCACCTCTTGGACTGCCGCCGGAGTGCCGCTCCTCGAGAAGGATGCGTCCACTAATGCCGCTATTTCTCCCAACTTCTGGAGAGCCCCTACCGACAATGACAAGCCCAATGATGTACCCTACTGGGTCCGCTATGGCGTCAACGCCTTCGACAGCACTCTGCGTTCTCTCAAGATCAACGAGTCTGCTGAGAAGGTGGAGATCATTGCAACCACCTACCTCAGCCCTCGCATCTTGGATTGGGGCTGGAATACTGTGACCACCTACACTATTGACGCTGCCGGTCGTCTTACCATTGCCGTCGACCTGAAGCCAAGAGGCATCAAGCCTACGCACATCCCCCGCGTTGGTCTCAACCTCCGCCTGCCCAAGGCTCTTAACAACGTCAAGTACCTCGCCCTTGGCCCCGGCGAGTCATACCCCGACAAGAAGTCCAGTCAGCGCCTCGGCGTATACCAGGCGACCGTTCCGGAGCTGCACCAGCACTACGAGGTGCCTCAGGAGGGCGGCAACCATCTGGAGACCCGCTATGTAAAGCTCACCGAGGGCTACGGCCGCGGTATCCGCGCCACCCCGGCTGATGCTGCGCTCTGGTCTGAGGAGGAATGGCGCCAGTTCAGTTTCCAGGTCAGCCACTACAAGACCGAGACTGTCCAAAACGCCGCGCACCCGTGCGATCTCTTTGAGGAGGACGCCACCCTCCTGCGTCTTGATGCCCGCGTGGCCGGTGTAGGCACCGCCGCTTGTGGTCCTAACGTTCGTGAAGATCTCAAGGTGCATGTAGGAGACTTCAAGTTCGCCTTCGTGTTGGAGCGCGTTGGATTCTGATGGGCCGATGATGACTGAAGCGAAACTTGGCTAGAAGGGCCACCGAGTCTTATGAATGTTCATGGCTAGAACTAGTAATGATACGAAACGTTATGATGATGCATCTCTGAGGTGAATGACCACGTGACGACGACGACGATGACAGAGACGGAATGTCTGTGGAAAGCTGCCTGGTTTTGATGCTTCGGAGAGAGACGACAAAGATGCCATCCACTTTTTTGCGTGAAGGGCATGACTCGGCGTTCGGGATGTGGACAAACACTACTTGTGCTGCCCCGCACCCTACGACGTGCACATAACGGCATCTCGTCTCAAGGATTTCCGAAACTGGCCGGTTGGC